GAGGAGACCATATGGTTGCTAGGTGTAGCCAGCACAAGGAGGTGTCATGATGGCCAGACAGTACCGGCAGGGGTGGCAGATCCTCCATATAGCAAGGGGAGTGACTCGCTGTTCCCCTCCAGAGTGGCTGATGCCCCAGGAAAATGGGACCGAATCTGCATTGCAGAGGCCCTAGGGACCTAGCATAGATACAAAAGGAGTTAATCAAGACGTGTCATGCACTCAAGAGGGTTCAACCAAGCTCATGGCAGGAGCTACAGGCTATCACTAGGAGTGATGGGAAGGATGGACTGGTGGAATGTTACATATGCTTGCGGGCAGCACAGTGGCTAAGTGGTTAGCACTTCCACCTAGCAGCACTAAGGTCATTGGTTCAAATCCCAACCATAGGATCCCACTTCCTGCATGGAGTTTGCATGTTCTCCCTGTGCCTGCATGGGTTTCCTCTGAGTACTTCAGTTTCCTCCCACATTCCAGAGACATTCTGGTAGGTGAATTGGCTCCTGTCTAAACTGGCCCTAGGATGTGTGTGTCTGAATGTGAGTTAGGGACCTTAGATTGTACGCTCCCTGAGTGCAGGGACTGGTGTGAATGTACAATATACTGTATCTCTATGTGAATTGACGAAGCTATACAAGGACCTGTAAAAAATGTAAAGTATAAGTACCTGTAATGAATAAATAATGTGCTCAGCAGCGTTCCCTTCAAAATGTCACATTCCATATTGGTGCACGTATCATGGGACAGTGCAGCTCATTCAAAGGCCTCAGGCGGTGATACGGATGCACCGGGTGTACGGCTCATTTCTAACTTGGGGTGCTGCCTCAATGTTGAATCCACATGAACGTGGCCCTGCCTGGTCCCGGGTATTAGTGAGCACGTGTACCACAGAGGGAGGAAGAGAGAGAAAAGTCCCTGTGTGCATGGGTGGGTGACCCCACTCACACCCCTCTCTATTCATAGATCTGGTTTCATTCCTAGAAGCTGTGGTGTGGTTCCTATGAATGGCAGATGTGGGCATAGCCAGGCACTCTTGATGAGAGTCTGTGACAGACCCTTAATTCTATTAACCCCCGCCCACACCCAGGGGCGTATTTACCACAAGGCACTTGCCTAGGGTGGCATTTTTCAGGGGGGCAGCACCTCCCTCCAGATGAAGGGTTGAAAGAAGGGATACGTGCGCCATGGGATCCGAGGGGCTGAGGGCTGCATGATGGTGTATGTAGAGCCTGACTATCATTCTCGGGATGTCTGGAGCTTTAAAGATGAGTGTCTTTCTCTCTATCGCCGGGGGGGGGGGGGGATAGGGGTAGTGGAAGGCTCTCCGCGGGAAGTGGAAGGGGGGGTGGTGTGGCGATGGTGGCAACACAAAATCTAAATACACCACTGGTCACACCAGAAGATCATGGAAGCTGGGGTGGGGGTGGGGGGCCATGGACGAAGGAAGATTTCACTTAACATTAGAGGTATTAGCACAAGGGATGGATCCTACTGGCTGTAAATTATGTCCCTTGTGCTGATTTGTTTGGTTCTTTATTTTGGCTGCCCCTAGGCTTTAAGAAATGTGTTTTATTGTAATGCTTTAAAATGTATTATTTATTTATTTCAGGTATGTGACGGGAGTGACTTTGGGTGGGGGGCCCATAGAACACAGCTCACTTTGGAGAGGTGGGGAGACCCCTGTCTCAGCTCCCCATATCCCTCTTATATGTAAGTCCCCCTGTGCCTGTTAGGGGTACAGGGTGATCTGTCCTAATATTGGGGTGGGGGGTTGTTCATTGTTTAATGCCATGTGGTTGCATCCCATTGTTTTATTGTGCGTCTTGCTTGGCAGCAAACTATTATGGGATGTATGTGTTTGCGTATTGGCTTGGTGGGGGGTGTCTGCTGATGTGTCTCTGGTTGCTAGATTTGGTTTGCCCTGCCCTGTGTCCATATGCAGGGAGGGGGGATTGTTCCTTTGAATGTTTATATCTTGTGTCTGTGTTAAAATAAAGTAGTCTATTTCCTGCTTTTACTTCAGGTGGTGTCCGTGGATATGTGTTTGGACGGGGAAGCGGGAGTCTATTGGAAATACCCTAGTGCAGTCGGGGTCCAGTTCCGTTACAACGTACTTCTATAGCACTGTCAATTTATGCAGAGCTTTAAAGTTGCAAGAAAAAGTATGTGAACCCCTTGGGATTCCGTGGAGTTTTGCATGAATTGGGCATAAAATGTGCTCTGAACGTCATCTAAGTCACAACAATAGAAGAACACAGTCTGCTGAACATAATACTACACAAACATTAGATGTTGCCATGGTTTAATTGCACATAACATGTAAACATTCACAGTGCAGGGAGGAAAAAGTATGTGAACCTTTGGACTTAATAACTGGTTGACCCTCCTTTGGCAGCAATAACCTCAACCAAACGTTTCCTGTAGTTGCAGATCAGACCTGCACAACGATCTGGAGTCATTTTGGACCACTCCTCTTCACAAAACTGTTTCAGTGTAGCAATATTCTTGGGATGTCTGGTGTGAATCGCTCTCTTAAGGTCATGCCACAGCATTTCAATGGGGTTGAGGTCAGGACTCTGACTGGGCCACTCCAGAAGGTGTATTCTGTGCTGTTGCAGCCATTGTTTTGTTGAATTCCTTGTATGCTTTGGGTCATTGTCCTGTTGCATCACCCATCCTCTGCGGAGCTTCAGTTGGCGGACAGATGGTCGTACGTTTTCCTGCAAAATGTCTTGATAAACTCTGGAATTCATTTTCCCATCAATGACAACAATCCGTCCAGGGCCTGAGGCAGCAAAGCAGCCCCAAACCATGATGCTCCCCTCCGCCATGTTTCACAGTGGGGATGAGGTTTTGATGTTGGTGTGCTGTGCCTTTTTTTCTCCACACATAGTGTTGTGTGTTCTTCCCAAACAACTCAATCTTGGTTTCATCTGTCCACAGTATATTTTGCCAGCAGTGCTGTGGAACATCCAGGTGCTCTTTTGCAAACTTCATACGTGCTGCAATATTCTTTTTGGACAGCAATGGCTTCCTCCGTGGTGTCCTCCCATGTACTCCATTCTTGTTTCATGTTTTCCTTATTGTAGATGTGTCAACAAAAATGTTAGCATGAGCCAGAGATTTCTGTAGGTCTTTAGCTGACACTCTGGGATTCTTCTTTACCTCATGCAGCATTCTGCGCTGGGCTCTTGCAGTCATTTTTACAGGACGACCCCGCCTAGGGAGAGTAGCAACAGTGCTAAACTTTCTCTATTTGTAGACAGTCTGTCTTACCGTGGACACATGAACATCAAGGCTTTTGGAGATATTTTTGTAACCCTTTCCAGCTTCATGCAAGTCAACAATTCTTGATCGTAGGTCTTCTGAGAGCTCTTTTCTGCGAGGCATGGTTCACATCAGACAGTGCTTCTTGAAACCAGTAAACCCAAAACAGGTGTGTGTTTTTAAGGGCAACACATGTCAGCAACACATCCAATATCATCACACTGATTGGAGTCAAGGTTGGCTCACTCCTGGCTCCAATTAGCTCTGGGAGAAGTCATTAAGCTAGGGCCTCACATACTTTTTCCTCCCTGCACTGTGAATATTTACATGTTATGTGCAATTAAACCATGGCAACATCTAATGTTTGTGTAGTATTATGTTCAGCAGACTGTGTTCTTCTATTGTTGTGACTTAGATGACGTTCAGAGCACATTTTATGCCCAATTCATGCAAAACTCCACGGAATCCCAAGGGGTTCACATACTTTTTCTTCCAGCTGTACATACAAACTGTACATTCACAGCAATCCCTAACCCTCGAGGGGGTGTACAATCTAAGGTCCTTAACTCACATTCATACATACACATACTAGGACCAATTTAGACAGGTTACAATTCACCTACCAGCTGGAGTGTGGGAGGAAACCCACACAGGCACAGGGAGAACATGCAAACTCCAGGCAGGTGGTGCTGTGGTTGGGATTTGAACCAATGACCCAAGTACTGCCAGGTGGAAGTGCTAACCATTTAGCCACTGGGCCGCCCTTCAAAATAAAGTGTGCATTTATAAAATGTGTGTCTTCTGCTGCCTGCCAGGAGATGCTGCACTACATACACATACCATTTGGTATAAATACTATAAAACTATTTGTACCTTCCCATGACCCGGATGTAATCTCTGAATCTCCAGGTCCATTAGTGCCCTGTAGAGACCTCGGTGGAAGTCATCCTACATCTTCTGTAGGTTGTCAGACGACTTCAGTACTCACCCAAACACTGGGCAGTCACATTCCACTGCAGGGTACCATTGTGGTTCTCACACACAATAGTCGTGGATGATGGACGATATCCCTTGTCACATCGCAAGCTAAGCACAGCACCAACGTCATAGTAGAGATTTCCATCATCCTTCATGTGTTTTTTCGACCGGCTTTTTTGACATTGTTCTGAGAGACAAATAAAAAAAAAAAAATGACAGTTACATATAGAATTCATGCCGTAAGTTCCTCTTGAACAGGACAACCTCTATGTGGTGAGATAGTCCTTCAGATGGTCTCTTTCCAACCAAAACATTCTTGAAAGAGCTGTCTGTCTCCACTAGACATGATTGGTTTTTCAGAAGAATCTCCTAATGGACATGATAAAGGATGTTAACCACTTCATGTCTGGACACTTTCCCCCCCTTCCAGTCCGGACGCTTCCCCCCCCTTCCAGTCCGGACGCTTTCCCCCCTTCCAGTCCCGGATCCCCCCCTCCCGTCCCGACACTTTCCCCCGGACCCTTTCCAGTCCGGACACTTTCCCCCCCTTCCAGTCCCGACACTTTCCCCCCCTTCCAGTCCCAGGACACTTTCACCCCCTTCCAGCCCGGACGCTTTCCCCCCCTTCCAGCCCGGACACTTTCCCCCCCTTCCAGTCCCAACGCTTTCCCCCCCTTCCAGTCCAGGACACTTTCCCCCCCTTCCAGTCCGGACACTTTCACCCCCCTTCCAGTCCGGACACTTTCACCCCTTCCAGTCCGGACACTTTCCCCCCCTTCCAGTCCAGACACTTTCATCCCCCCTTCCAGCCCGGACACTTTCACCCCCCTTCCAGTCCGGACACTTTCCCCCCCTTCCAGTCCGGACACTTTCACCCCCCTTCCAGTCCGGACACTTTCACCCCCCTTCCAGTCCGGACACTTTCCCCCTCTTCCAGTCCCGACACTTTCCCCCTCTTCCAGTCCCGACACTTTCCCCCCCTTCCAGTCCCGACACTTTCCCCCCCTTCCAGTCCCGACACTTTCCCCCCCTTCGAGTCCGGACACTTTCACCCCCTTCCAGCCCGGACACTTTCCCCCCCTTCCAGTCCAGACTCTTTCCCTCCCTTCCAGTCCGGACACTTTCCCCCCCTTCCAGTCCGGACACTTTCCCCCCCTTCCAGTCCGGACACTTTCCCCCCCTTCCAGTCCAGACACTTTCACCCCTTCCAGTCCGGACACTTTCCCCCCCTTCCTGTCCGGACGCTTCCCCCCCTTCCAGTCCGGACACTTTCCCCCCCTTCCAGTCCAGCCCGGACACTTTCCCCCCTTCCAGCCCGGACACTTTCACCCCCTTCCAGCCCGGACACTTTCCCCCACTTCCAGCCGGACACTTTCCCCCACTTCCAGTCCGGACACTTTCCCCCCTTCCAGTCCGGACACTTTCCCCCCCTTCCAGTCCGGACACTTTCACCCCACTTCCAGTCCGGACACTTTCCCCCCCTTCCAGTCCGGACACTTTCCCCCCCCTTCCAGTCCGGACACTTTCACCCCCCTTCCAGTCCGGACACTTTCCCCCCCCTTCCAGTCCGGACACTTTCCCCCCCTTCCAGTCCGGACACTTTCACCCCCCCAGTCTTCCTGTCCAGGCACACTTTCACCCCTTCCAGCGGACACTCCCCCTTTCCATGTCCGGAATTGCGCGGTCATGCAACCCCCCCCTTCCAGTGGACACTTTTTCCCCCCTTCCAGTCCGGATGCTTTCCCCCCTTTCCAGGTGGTATTTATTCGGACACTTTCACCCCTTCCAGTCCCGACACTTTCCCCCCCTTCCAGTCCGGACGCTTTTCCCCCCTTCCAGTCCGGACACTTTCCCCCCCCCTTCCAGTCCGGACACTTTCCCCCCCCTTCCAGTCCGGACACTTTCACCCCCCTTCCAGTCCGGACACTTTCCCCCCCCCTTCCAGTCCGGACACTTTCCCCCCACTTCCAGTCCGGACACTTTCCCCCCCTTCCAGTCCGGACACTTTCCCCCCCCTTCCAGTCCGGACACTTTCACCCCCCTTCCAGTCCGGACACTTTCCCCCCCTTCCAGTCCGGACACTTTCCCCCCCTTCCAGTCCGGACACTTTCCCCCCCCTTCCAGTCCGGACACTTTCCCCCCTTCCAGTCCGGACACTTTCACCCCCTTCCAGTCCGGACACTTTCACCCCCCCCTCTTCCTGTCCAGGCCAATTTTCAGCTTTCAGCGCTATCACACTTTGAATGACAATTGCGCGGTCATGCAACACTGTACCCATATGAATTTTTTAGCATTTTTTTTGCGAGAGATAAAACTTTATTTTGGTGGTATTTATTCACCGCTGGGATTTTTTTTTTTTTTTTTGCTATGTAAATAAAAAAGTCTAAAACTTTTGAAAAAAAGTGTTTTTCTTCAAATAAATAATATTTCATCATAAATCTTGGCAAAATTTATAATTTTATTTATCTTTTTAGTAAAAAAAAAAAACAAATTAGCTTATAACCAAAAAGTATAATTTTTAAACATCTTTTTTTTTTTATATTATTATTTATGTTTTTTTTTTTTTTACATACTGTCACCCTAGCAGTACAGTGTCACCATAGTGACGCTTTACTACTTGTAGTGGGCGATGAAGATTTTTTTTTTTTTTTGCACAAATTGCTTTTACATCCATAAAGGATGTAAAAGCAATCATTTCTCCTCCTCTCTGGCTGCATTCCTGTGATTTGTCACAACTTGTCACATGGTACAAGGCTGTTGTGAATGGCCCTGTACCATGTGACCTCTGTGATTATTCACAGATTTCACATGTAGTAAGCAATGATGTCAGAAGTGAAATCTTGCTTACTACTCTGCATGTGATAACTGATTGGCCAATCAGTGATCACATGATCGTGATCTCGCACAGAGGTCCCGTCCAACGATCGGTGTTCCACTGTGTCCGGAGAACACAGTGGGCACTGGATCGCAGTGCTGCGCACTCCCTGGGAGCGTGCACAAGCAGGGGGCGGGGAGGCCATTTATAAATGACCACCAGAGCCTGCACAGCCACCGTCCGACCGTTTATATACATGGGCCGGACGGGAGGTGATTAATGAAAAAAAAAAAAAAAGTCTGAACGAAATGACTTGTGCATTTGTTTCATTCGGATGACTTTACACGATTATGTATGTAAGCAGTTCAGGCCCATGGGGAAACGAATTCAATTTTTTCAAATTATTTCGATCATCTGGATTCAGATAACAAATGGATCAGAATTTTGTTCTGTTCATTAATTTGGATACACTGATGGCAGTCGATATTGTCCAATCAGCTCATGCCATTTCTCTTGGTGGGTTGGACTACCGTCCAAAACTATTGAATCCTTCCGATTCAAATCCACCCGATTCGATAATATATCAAATACATAGCAATCTTTCAAAAACACTGCTAGATTTTTCAAATCCACCTGGCCTATCGATGTATGAAACGAATTTCGAAGGCAGGAAACGAATTCCGAAAACAAATTGGTTCAACACGACAGATATGACGAAACAAAATTCTTCAATGAACGAATCATCCGAAACGAAATGAAAATTTCTAGCGTGCACATGTCTACTCTCCAACATGGCTTCCTTTTTCTGCTTATACATTTGGCCTGCGTGCTGATGATGATTTCAGTCATTCTCACAGATGAGTGTCCCTATCATGTTGCTGGCCAACTGTAAGTCCTGTCTGGAAAGTTGACTTTGATGCAACTTTAGGTAATATCAAAGTCGCATCCAAATTTCATCCAAGTCACACCAACCAACGCCTTATCCAAGTCACACCCACCCAATGCCTTATCCAAGTCACACCACCAACGCCTTATCCAAGTCACACCCACCCAACGCCTCATCCAAGTCACACCCACCCAACGCCTTATCCAAGTCACACCCACCCAACGCCTCATCCAAGTCACACCACCCAACGCCTTATCCAAGTCACACCCCCCAACGCCTCATCCAAGTCACACCAACCAACGCCTTATCCAAGTCACACCCACCCAACGCCTCATCCAAGTCACACCCACCCAACGCCTCATCCAAGTCAAGTCAACGCCTCATCCAAGTCCACAAACCAACGCCTTATCCAAGTCACACCCACCCAACGCCTTATCCAAGTCACACCCACCCAACGCCTCATCCAAGTCACACCCACCCAACGCCTCATCCAAGTCACACCCACCCAACACGCTCATCCAAGTCACACCCACCCAACGCCTTATCCAAGTCACCCACCCAACGCCTCATCCAAGTCACACCAACCAAAGCCTTATCCAAGTCACACCAACCAACCCAACGCCTTATCCAAGTTTATCCAAGTCACACCCACCATCACAAAGTTGCATCCACCCACCCAGTTGCACCCATCCAAGTTGTTGCATCCGAGTTGCACCCAGGAGCGCCGGTAGGAGACCCAGGAAGAAAAGGACCAGAGATGCTCTCTGCTAAACCATTACACAGAGCAGGTAAGTATGACATGACTCAACCATGTTAAAGTAGAATTCAGGCTTCACTTTGAGCCAAGGTGGCCCAAACAAACTATTTCCATGTTCTGTGTGCACTGGACTGGACTGTAGTAGCATTGGCTACATACAGCAAGGAGCACTGTGTTCCAGCAGCAGTACGGTGACTTCCCATCCACCATTCAGGAGAACCCTTGTATATTTAACAATGAATACAAGGCTTTTCCTGATTGGCCAAGGTAGAAACCATGTAGTTATCCACCAATCTCTCCACCGAGTTCAATCAGAAAAAGCTTTGTATTCATTAATAAAATGGCAAGGCTTCTCCTGAATGGCAGAGAAGCAGTCATCCCAACTCTCTTTAATTCCGAAAACAGACTGTCACGTACCTGATGGGAGACTGAAATGACGAGGTCAGCCTCACTTGTGTCTCTAGCCCTGGCCCTGTTGGAGTTGCAACAGAGGGAGTCTAGGGACCAGGGGAACAAGAGCACCAGTAGTTGTTGTTTGCAGCTCTTGCAGATGATGACCCTGGAAGGCTGATGATCCTCTGATTTTGGCACAGTAGTAGCAGGCAGAGCAGGTTTAGTAGATTGCCAGACATGCACCAGATCAAGGCTACGTGCACACTAGTGTTGTGTGCAGGCGGCGTTTGGGAAGCGTTTTTACCGCTTCCCAAACGCCTCTGACAATTCTGCACATTGCAGCACATGGTGCTGTTCAAACGGGAGCATTAGCGTCACGCCAAAATGGATGCCTCTGGTCACGTCAGGAGGCGTTGAAGCCTCCTAGTCTAGTCTATGGTGCCCAGCCGGCATTTGCGGTGCGGTTGCACGCAGTTGCGGGGCGTTTGCGGAGCGGTAACACCATTCAAACTTCATTGTAGGCGTTTGTGGGGCGTTTTTAACGCTCGGCAAACGCCTACCCACCGCCGCTAAACCGCGCATGCGGCGTTTGCGGAGCATTTGCCGAGCGTTAAAAAAACGCTCCGCAAACGCCGGACCAACGCTTGCCAAACGCTATAGGGGCGTTTGGCAAGCGTTGGTAAAACAGTCAAGTGTGAACAAGCCCCAAGGCAGGTAGTGAGGGTAAGAGACAGGAGCAGTGTCATGGGAATAGCCGGGGTCATCAACAGTCGGGCAGCACGGTACAGAATCAGAAGGAAAAGCCGAAGTCAGGAACCGGGAGCAGGAGAGCAATCAGAGTCAGGTGAGGAACAAGCCGGGTCAGCAACAAAGGGATCACACAGGAACAAGCAGGACACGGGGGAGCTGAAGACCAGTCAGCACTCAACATGAGCAGAGACACTCCTTAAATAGGCTGTCTGGTGCCAATCTTCGCCGTGCGTGTGCGCGATCTCGCATTTCCGGTCACAATTCATCTTGCCTGAAATCCCTTACACAGATTGGAATTTACTGAAACACAGCACCGCCTACTGTATATTACAGCAAACAATGGAAGCAGCCTACTAATGGAAGTAGTGTGTTTGGGCCAGCTTGGCCAGCTGGGCCTTCAAATCTGAATTCCAGGAATTCAGCAACTTTGCAAAATGTACAGGTACGCTATGAGAGAAGTCCTATTAGGTGCGTGTCACCTCCGCGACTTAACTCTGTTACTTATATATGCCAGGTTTACTGCACGCCCAGAGGAAGCACACAGAGCAGCTATGCCTGCTCCTCCCCTCTGCTGCCCATTCACAGAAGCCTTTGTACTTTGTGAATGAGCAAAGAGCATAACTGTCAGGAACCATCGCGACGCATGGGTCTACACACGTATAGGTGGCAGGGCACTAGGACCCAGGCGCACCCGTCGTCTGGACAGTACTAGGCAGGCACTGGGACCCAGGCTACGCCTGTCAGGTGCAGGGCGGGCTATTTAAACTAGCCCTGCACAGACACTTGTTGCCGAATGGTCTTTGTATCCTGTTACCTGTGTGTGAGTACTTCTGATCTGGATTGTTTTGACCTTGTTGCCTTCTCCCGTCCTGACCCCTTGGCTTGCCTGACTCTGCTCCCAGATGTTCCCGTTTAGATCTGACCTCCTGGTATTGACCCTGCGTGTGACCCGACTATCCTTTGCCTACCGTTTTGTACCTTACCGATCCTCTAGTTACCGTCCCGGCCTGCATGACTCTGATTTAGCTCATCCATCCATCCACCCCGCAGGGATCACTAGGCTCCCTTACATCAGACTCCTAGCTCTCTGGAGCCCCTGTCAGACTCCTCTACCCCTGTTGGAGATACCTGGTAGTTGCGACCTGGTACCGGAGCGCTCCAAGTCCATCCCCACCATCAGGGGCCCTGGTGAACAAGTGCTCCGGTGCTTAGACTCCGCACTCTGGGGAGGCTCTACCAGGGGACTGATAGAGGTGCTGTCAGGCGGTCCCTTACAATAACTTTCAGTATCACAGAATAGTCACATTAATTTGCATTTCTGGGAGCTATAAGGCATTGGTGGTAGATTTGTAAATCCAGCTGCCGGGCCTTCTCAAATTTTTGGGGATGTTTTCTATTCATATAAGTAGCTTTAAAAAGGGTAAACATATGGAAATCTTAAAGGAAACTTAAAAAAAAATTTTCAGGGAAGGAAAACTTTTGCTCTTCGAATGATAATTCTATTTGACACAACAGATAACCGACTGAATGTG